TTACCTAGACATAAGGTTTATCTGAGAACAACTTGTCTTTGCCTAATATTTATCTACGTGACACACAGTAGTTAAAAATACCAGACTGGTGGAACTAACCTTCTTGGGTGTTTAATAGACATTCTTTGAGGCCTATAATAATTTGGTCAGAGGGACATAAAGGGGACTTTTTGCTCCTAGCCCTCCTAGGTTGACTAGTTCCAGAGGACTATGAGCATCTCTCAAAATGTCCTATACTGGTGGTGGGTCACCTGTCTTCTTGATCAAAGAAGCTGAGGAGACCCCACCAGATGGACTTGAACCAGTGTCCAGTCTATAAAGAGGAGAAAAACTCATTTTTAATGCTACTAACACTTAGAATTTTGCACAAGCATCTCTAATCTCTATGTATCTGATTATTGCTAGTCACAGTCAGTTACACTCAGATCCTTGACACCTGAGTATGACTATGAAGTTATCAGGTAGATTTCAGTGAGGCAAATTTTTATACTTCTTCCTCAAATATAACTGTTTTTTTTAATTTGTTGATTTTTTGTGTCTATATCATACAGAACATCCCAAACAATTTTATTTATCTATATACCCACTTCCCAAATGGCACCCTCCCATCCCCCTCCCACTGCCCCCACTGGAGCCCATATACTCTGTCACCTCTGTTACCATTCACTGTATTCTCAGCGCCCTGAGCTGTTCCCCAGTGCTTGTCCATCTGCTGAATCTAGTCAGCCCATCTAGAGTTCCTTGTTTTAGGAAGATCAGCTCCTCCTCATCTAGCAGCAATCAGTTGTCAATATTCCTTTAGATAAGATTGGGGTCTGCTGATCATTTTCCCAGTTCTATGCTGGGTTACTGTTTGGGAGTTTCTTGAACCACCCTGGCCAACAACTCAAAGGAAGGCATCTCTTGTCTGGCATTGTTTCTTGTTATGTAGCCTTTAGCTGTGTTCTTCTTTTCCTTTTATTCAGTCCTGATCCCTTTAATCTTTGGTTATACTTTCCTTTTGTGTGTT